AAGTGGAACCAGCCTCCCTGCCGCATGCAGCGAAGGACTGTCTTCTCTGTCTCATTCAACTGCACCATCCTGGCGTGCATCTGTCTAGCTGCCTCCAGAATGTCTGCCGGGCCTGTCTTATAGGTGCACTGCACCTTTTGCTGTCTGGCTTTCTCTCGCATGCGCTGCTTCAAGTCTTCCTGCCACCTTTTGAGAGCTGCCTTGGCTGGCTGGGCGAACCCGATGTCTGTCACCTGGGTCAAGCCGGTGCACCCGGCTGCAATGCCTGTCTGAGCTCGCTGCAGGAGTGCAGCGGCGTGCATGGACTCCGTCGTCCATGCTCCGCCGAACATATCGACGAGCTGCACTGCCTGGCTGTGCTCTTCTGACTCGAGCTCTAGCTGCCATCTGTAAATCACGCTATCTACCACTGCGGCTGGCTGGCACCACACCCTGACACTGCCATCAAACAGGTGTGGCTGGGTCTGTCGCAGTTTGCGCCAAGTGCGCATGACCTGTCCTGGCACTCGCTGGCCTGCCCTTCTCCTGACTGTCTGGCTGCCTACCTGGAAGCACTCGGACTTGATCCACGTGCCTTCCTGGCTGATGTTTTCAAGTCTGCAGTGTTTGCCGTATGTGACAAGTATCGTGGGCATAACGACACCCACTGGCTGTCTGTCTGGCGCAAAGAAGTTCTGCACTGCCTGTCTAGCTACCAAGCTGACTCGCCACCTTGCTGCCACACCTGGGGCTCGAGAAGCACATGCCAGCCTCGGTGCCTCGGTTGGTTTCGAAAGCATGAAGGTGCATGAAGGTTTAGGCTTTGGCTTTTGGGTTTGGGGTTTAAGGAAACCCTAAACCCGAAAGTCCACTTCGAATCCACCCAACAAAACCGCCAAGGTGCGGCCTTGGCTTTGGCCTCAGGTTTGGCCTTTGCCTGTGTTTGTGCTTTCCTGTTCTCTCGCCTGGCCTTGCTTTGCTCGCTGGCTAGCTTCAAGCGCACCACCGATGTCAACGCCTTCCCTGGCGTTGGCTTGAGCCAAGCAGGTACTTGGTCTGACATGGTGATGGCTGTCTCTGCTCGCTTTGTCGTCCACTGCTCTGGGCTTGCTACATGCAAGTCTGGCTGTGGTGTCTTGCTGGCTGCCTGTTCCAAAAGCAAGTCCCAGAGTCGCCAGGACAAGTCTAGCCTGGCTTTCTCATCCTCCTTGCTCAGGTTGGCTGTCTGTTGGCAGGATCTGTTTCGAAGACCGCACTTTGCCAGGAGCAGGATCTGGTACTTGCTCCTCTGCTTTGGCTTGCTGGCTAGCGTGGCTTTCTTTTGCGTCATGGCTGCCAGCTCCTTCTCACCTGTCTGGTCAAGAAGACCCTTTTCCTTTTCTGCCTGCCTGACTGCAATGGCTTTGTCGAGCCTTTCTTGGAAGTCCATCAGCACGTCTTCGTTCGTCAGGACGTGCTGGCTGGCTTCCTCATTCAAGGCCCAAGCACGGGTCTCAGACCAGACTGGCAGGAGAAAGTCTGGCCTACCCAGCACTTTGCCTGGGTCAGGCAGTCTTCGGCCATTTGACTTGCTGACGAGGTGCACGAGACCCAAATGGCTGCCTGCCTGTCTGGCACTGTGTCCTCGCCCCGTGCTGGCGAGAAAGTTGGTGACTTTCTGTCTGTGATAGTCTTTTTGCAGGTTGAAGCAAAAAGAATTGCTCACACCATACTGCCTCATGACATGCTGCCTGGCTGCAGTTTTGCTTTTGTGAGTTACAGCTGCTCTGTCTAACTCTTCCATGATGGAAAGCTTGCCTCTGGCTGTCACATCACATCGTTTCTTGCGAAGATGCGGCACCGCTTTCGTCTTCTGCTTACTGCCTAGCGGTCTGCCTCCCCGTCTCTTTTTAAGAACTCCAAGAGCTGGCTCCAGTTCGAGCTTTTCCACTGCTTGGCTGGCTTTCTGCTGCAGGTTTTGCATGTTCTCAGCTTGCTGCTGTTTCTGTCTGTCACTAGCTGTGTCTGGCGAAAGGCCGGGCTTGGCCTCTGCCTCTGCTGCCTTGCCCCAAAGGTAGTCTAGCCTGTAGTAGACTGGACTGCCTGGGCCTAAGGTCTTTTTGAGCTGTTCTATCTTTCTCTTTTGCACAGGGTTGCTGTCTGGGCTCTGGCTGCCCGGGCTCTGGCTGCCTGGGCTCTGGCTGTCTCCACCCTTGCTGTCAGGACTGAACAGACGCTTCTTCGGCGAAGGTGTGTGAAAGCTCGCCTGCCTCTTGACTCCTCTAGCTGTCTGGCTGCTGTCTAGGCTGTCTTGGCTGCTCTGCCTGCAAACCACTGCCTGTGGTTCTTCCTTGCTCAAGTCAACTACCTCTACTGTCTTGGCTGTCTTCCTTCTTTTGGCTTCCCTCTCGTCGTCCTGATGTTTAGAGCAATTCGGTCAATTCATTCATCAGCACCCCTGCGCCTTGTCAAGCTCGGCCAAAGCATTCTCCAAAGCGGCTCGCAGCCTGGCCTGCACGTTTGGGAAAAAAAAACAATCAAAAGAACCATGCCAGCACCATCCAAACGAGGCTCTTCCAGTACTAAGCTTGTACTACAATTGAGCACCATCCAGAAAGCATCGGACAGGAGACACTTCTAGCACCAACATCATGCCGACAGCATCCGAGACGAGGCTCTTCCAGTACTAAGCTTGTACTACAATTGAGCACCATCCAGCCAGCATCGGACAGGAGACACTTCTAGCACCGACATCATCCCGACAGCATCCGAGACGAGGCTCTTCCAGTACTAAGCTTGTACTACAATTGAGCACCATCCAGCCAGCATCGGACAGGAGACACTTCTAGCACCGACATCATCCCGACAGCATCCGAGACGAGGCTCTTCCAGTACTAAGCTTGTACTACAATTGAGCACCATCCAGCCAGCATCGGACAGGAGACACTTCTAGCACCGACATCATCCCGACAGCATCCGAGACGAGGCTCTTCCAGTACTAAGCTTGTACTACAATTGAGCACCATCCAGCCAGCATCGGACAGGAGACACTTCTAGCACCGACATCATCCCGACAGCATCCGAGACGAGGCTCTTCCAGTACTAAGCTTGTACTACAATTGAGCACCATCCAGCCAGCATCGGACAGGAGACACTTCTAGCACCGACATCATCCCGACAGCATCCGAGACGAGGCTCTTCCAGTACTAAGCTTGTACTACAATTGAGCACCATCCAGCCAGCATCGGACAGGAGACACTTCTAGCACCGACATCATCCCGACAGCATCCGAGACGAGGCTCTTCCAGTACTAAGCTTGTACTACAATTGAGCACCATCCAGCCAGCATCGGACAGGAGACACTTCTAGCACCGACATCATCCCGACAGCATCCGAGACGAGGCTCTTCCAGTACTAAGCTTGTACTACAATTGAGCACCATCCAGCCAGCATCGGACAGGAGACACTTCTAGCACCGACATCATCCCGACAGCATCCGAGACGAGGCTCTTCCAGTACTAAGCTTGTACTACAATTGAGCACCATCCAGCCAGCATCGGACAGGAGACACTTCTAGCACCGACATCATCCCGACAGCATCCGAGACGAGGCTCTTCCAGTACTAAGCTTGTACTACAATCCTCTGTTCTTTGCTATCAGTAATTACTGCATTCGGCCTTGCGCCCGCGAATCGTGGTCGTGATAATCTCCTAGGGGTCAGAATTGCACTACTTCGATATGCTACAGGATAGCCGAGGGGGTAGTGCTACACTCTCAATGGATAGTGCCGAGGCTCGATTCCCTTGCCCGTCATTTTTGTGTCTGAAGGATTACTAACGCCCGTCTTAGAAAAGATCCCGCCTTGTCCTGGGCTTCCTCGCCGCCCATGGCGGCACTCAGCCGCCCATGGCGGCGAAGCGAAGAAGCACTTCCAGCTGTCTGTCTGCCTCCTCAGTGAGTGTGTGTGAGTGGTGTTTGTGTTTGAGTGCTCCGGTTGGTCTGTCTGAGTGTGAGTGTGAGTGTGAGTGTGTGTGTGTGTGACAGCCTGTTGAAGCGAGGCCCAAAGGCCTCTTCTTGAGGCTGCCTGTCTGTGGCGGAGCGGGCAGATTGTTGACAGCTTTCAGAAGCAAAGCACTTGCAGCGAATGCCAGAATCTTGGAACATCATTAATTAATTAATCAGTTCCTATCATATTTAATTAATTATCATGTTATTTCCAAGCTTCTGGCATTCACCACAGGTGCTCTTCTGCACTTGTGCAACCATGAAGCATTGCTATCATCAACAACAACATCATCATCATGTTCTTCATCATCATCATATGATCATCGTCATCATTACCATCACCACCACTACCGCCATCTTCATCATAACAAGCATCACCGTAATCGTCATCATCATTTTCATCGTCATCATTTTCATCATTTAATTACTTGTAGAACCTGTGTTTCTAGGAATTGAGATAACAACCCCCCCCTAATTATAAAAACATTTTCGAGTTTTTATTTAGGGCGAAGGGGGGGGGGGGCCCCGACCCTTTAATATTAAGGGGAAAGGATTACACCTTAAAGTTTTGCAACCCCCTGGCCCCCAAACGCCCAAAGCCCCGAAAGCCCCTAAAACATCTAAAGCCCCTAAATCCGCAAAGAAAGCCCCTGAACCCTAAAACCCAACAGGCCCCTCCCTCTTCCCTAAACCCAAAGCGCCAAATCCCTCAACCCTATAAACCCTAAACCCTCAGCCCTAAAAATCCTAAACGCAGAATCTGAAAACCCAAAATCCTGAACCCCTAAAGTTCTAAAGCCCCAAAAGCCCTAAACCCTTAAAGACTCCTCATGGAATCTGTGAAGAAACCCCGCAAGCCCCAAAGGCCAGTCCCTTTTCCCCTCTTGCCAGACCTTAGAGTCCTTAACCCTACAACCCATAAAGCCAAAAACAACAAAATCCTAAACCCTGAACCCTACAGCCCTAAACCCAAACACCTCAACACCCTAAACTCTGAACCCTATAAAACCCACAAACCAAAAGAACTCCCTCAGGTCCTTGAGGAGCTCGGTCAGCGCAGCGCAGTCTCGCAGATGCTCTGCTCCCGGCATGCCTCTTTGAATGGAAACTTCTTGGGTTCAGACTTAGAGATTTAGGATTTTTTGAAAGGGCAAAACCAGGGTCCCTGCAACGGTTCCTTGAAGGATTTTGACAGGAAAACCCTAGGATTTAGAGTTTAGGGGGACAAGGGTTTAGGACATAAGGGATAGGGTTTAGGGGTTTAGTACGATTTTCGAAAAGGAGAGCTTCGTTTGATAGGTTTGTTTAAAGGCTCCATAAGCGCTTACAGTGCGGGGTTCATAGGCTCTTTTACGGGTTTCTGGACGAATTTAGGGTCTAGGGTGTAGGGTTTTAAGGGGTTAGGGGGTTTATAAAGGGGGTTAGAGTCTTAGGGTTTCGGCATTTTGGCTTGGGGCCTCGGGAGCTCAGGGTCTAGGTGTAGAGATCCAGGGTTTAGGGTTCTCAAATTGGGATGCTTCGAAGGTTTCGCTTTTTGATGTAGGTTAATGCTTTGGGAGTATAAGTACGATTACAAGGCAGTAGAACTCCTGTGGGGCTGATCAATGCCCCCCACCTGAATTTTCACCCGAAGCAGACCTCTCTGGGACCCCTCCAGGCTAAGCAAAAGGTACTAAACAAAAACGGCCGCAAGAGATTTGTTCATGGTTGTTTACAGGGTCCTAAGGTTGCCGTTCCTTTTTTGCGGAGGGGGGCGGGGTGGTGGTGGTGGGGGTAGGCGTATGCAAGCTCGTAAAGATATGCAGAGACTACAAATGCCACTGTAAACCCCTAACCCTTACACCCGGAATCCTAGAACCTAGTATAGGTTCCTTAATAATCAGAAATACGCCTTTGAGGTAGATTGTAGTCATGCTATACCTATAACAACGAACCCCGATGGGTTTAATTCTGTTAACTATTCAAGCCTGCAAACTCAACCTTCCGCCCCATACCCTTCTGAATGCTTCTTTGTGAATGAGAGGTACCCCTACAGTCTCGATAGAGATCTCTTGGCTCCTTATGATTCGTATATGGGAGTTTCCGAAATTAAAGGTACCTTTAAAGGGCTCGGTAAGGGCCCCTTAAAGGGATCCATAAGGGCTCTATAAAGGGTTCATGGTTTACAGTTTCCATAAATTGGGGGGGTACAATCCTACTATATTTGGGGTATTATATTAGGGCGCCCCCCATTTTCGGAAACTCATATGTTTGGTCCTGGAGCGAAGACGAAGAGATCCCGACAAATGCTAAAGCCACGTATGGAAAATCCCTGTAGCAACCATCATACACCCCAAACCGAACAAAGTCCGGGCCTACTCCCTAAAGCCAAACCTCTAAGCCCTAAAGCCCCAAACCACAAGCCCATGTCCAAACCCTCAACCCTAAAACCTAGGTGTCAGCAACTTAGAGTTGCCTCCTGGAAGCGCAATTGCATCCCACTCGGTGCCTGCCCAGAGCGTTTGAAAGGAATAGAAAAATTAGGGTTTAGGGTTCAGGGATTTAAGGTTTAGCCCACTTTAAGAATATGGCGAGTCCTGGTTGGGTTTTCACACGGTTTCATGGCGGTTGCATTTGATATGCCTTGCGTGGAATGTGGTTCTCTACCTTGGAGTCATGGTCCGGGTCCTCAATACAAGAATGATGTGCTGCACCCAACAAGGCGGATAAGGGTTGGGCTCAATTCTACTGAAGGGGCCTTAATAATTAGAATGGGGTTTTGGGGTCCATCATACTATACATATAAAAAGTAGCCCCCAAAATAAATCGGTAAGTTTTTAGAGCACTATAAAATGGTGCTTTGGAGCTCCGGTGGCTTGGCAGGCTCTGTGCTGCCCTGGTAGGCACAAATATCCCCTCAAAGGGCCCATGCTGAAAGACTTCGTACCCCAAGTCAGACCTTAGTTTGCGCCATGACCCTTAGGCCTTATAAGCCCTTAAAGGAACCCTTATAGATCCCCTAAAGGAGCCCTTATAGATGCCTTATAGGCCCTAACTCTCTCTTTCCGCTCTTCATGAGCTCGTCGCGCAGGGCCAAACTTTCGTCGCCCGGAGCGAAAGATTCGTTGCCCACGGCGAAGCTCTCGTCGTTCAAGACCACGTGGAGGATCAGGGGACTTAGTAAGTAAGGGTATAAAATGCCCTAACTAGGACCCTACGGAACCATAGTAAAGCTGTACCGACCACTCAGGCCCTGTAACCATTACGACACTGGTATTCGGAGAACAGAGCACGTCATCTAAGTATGAAACCTGTGCAACAACATGCCGATTTTTTGGACCCCTAGCTATTGAAACCCTCATATTAAGAACCCTAAATGAACCCAACACAATTCCAACATCCGTCAGCTAACTGGCCATTAAAAGGAGGCAAGGCCCAGTGAAACCCTCACAAATGCGGCCCTCTTTTGAAGAAGAAACTTCGAGCCGAAATCCATTCTCGAAAGTCGGATTGACCTTTCGGTTCGTAGTAGACAATCTCGGAGCGTGACTCTGCACAACTTTAGGCAAAACTGGCGTTTGCACCAGCTGCTCCTCTTCCTTAGAGGTGACCGCCACGAAGCGAGAGAAATGTTGACACGCAGGACTGAAACTCAGCTCTTGCAAGACGCTGAACAGGTCGACTTTGCGCAACTGCGCTCTCTTCTCCTGGAGAGGGCGGAACATCGTACGATTATGCTCGGCGCACTGGTCAGTCCAGCCTGGCTGGCTGCATGCGAAGGCTCGAATGCGGAGCACCACTGCTGTCCAAGGTGTGGCATGCTGCTTGCTCCCTTTCAGCATGTTGCCTATGACTGTGTGGGCAAGCCTCGGCCACAGAATGAGTGGCAAGCTCGCTTCGGCTGGCCCCTGTGCAGTGTGCCTAAGGCTGTGAATGCTGCCAGACTGCAAGTCTTGGCAGACACGTGTCGCGTGCTCTGGGAGCAGCGGCACCCTTCTGCAAACTGAGGTTCGCTGGCGTAGCCAGCATGCTGACTCACCTGGTTAGGCTTCGGCCTTCCCTAAGGTTTGCTTTCTCTCGCTGGTGGCTGCGGCTGCCGAGTGACTGGCGTGGCCAGCGCGCAAACACGCCTGGTTAGGCTTCGGCCTCATCTAAGGTGTGGTTTTTCTCTACTGGTGGCTACGGCTGCTGGGGTGCAGGAAGCAGAACGAGGGCTTCATGCACTACAACTTCATATATCTCGAAAGCAAGCAAGCAAGCCTTTGCAGTCCTCAATGGCGCAGTCCGCCACTACCTGGGGACATGTTTTTGGACACCCTGAACCTTAAGCCGTAAACTGCTTAGGGCTTGTAGGGTTCAGGGCTTCCAGAGTTTAGGGCTCGGGGTTTGGTTGAGGGCTCGGGGTTTGGGGTGCCCTCTATGAAGTCGTTATTCGAAATTGCTCTGCAATGTTCACAGTTCCTCTAACAGGCCATATTTCAAAAACGTCGCATCCGGCTTTTGGAAAGCTGAGGCACGAGATCTTGCTGCTAATTCTACAGGTCAAGCCCTACCTTAAGCCGGAATAACCTACCTTTAGGCTTAAGGTAGCCGTCAACAAACGAACCTTGACCACGGAAAGCCGAACAGCGGCGGAAACCTGCACTCTGCACCACGGATGCCACATCCCAGAGGTCATGTGCATTCTGAACACTGACGAAGCGAGCCCCAATTCCAAGGTAAAAGGGGGGACCCTTAATAAGGACCCCTAGGTATATACCCTTAATATAAGCTATCATATACCCATCATGTCGCCCATTATAGGGTAGGAGTCCCCATTAAGGGTCCCTCATGTTCCCCTTTGACCTAAAGAAACGAACATAAAGAAACCTAAACCCTGAACACTACAGGCGTCATAGAACCGCAACAAGAAAACATCCATAAGTACCTTGATAAGAGCCAGCATCGAGTTTAGGGTTTGGCGCTATGCCCGAAACTCTTTAGGGTGTCTCAAGCTTTTGGCACAATCACCCGTACTACTTGGGCAACGGGCTCTCTGAATAATTCCCTCTCCCCACAAAAGCGATTGAGCTTGGCTGACTGATTGTCACCCTTCCTGCAACTTGAACTTTTCGCCTCTATTCTGTAGTGAGGATGAATAAATGTCCCCAAACCCAAAACGGAAACAGAATGGGCCCGCATGATGTCGAAATCTAAGGCTGCAGCATTAATGCCTCGCGACATCTTCACCTGCCACAGGTGCAGCTCATTGTGTATCGAGTTTCCCTTATCCATTCATAATTCATAATGCTATAAGCTCCTGGGTCCCATAGTGATGATAGCGCTTGGGCAACCCTTTAGGTTGATGTTACGTGAACATGAGATGATTCTTAAGTAGTCTTAAGGAATAACGAATCATGAGGCTGCCCTATTTACAGTGACAGTTTCAGCTTGATACTGCACACAAAGGGCTAACCTGAAGAGGTAGGTTCCCCGCAAACCCAAACCCTTGTGGTTTACGGCTTAGGGAAGGCAAAACTTCGCTGTCCAAGTACATCTAATGCTTAAGCCCCCTAAACCCTACACCTGCCCAGGTCTCCGCTGATTCTGTGGGGGTCCAAGATTTAGCATTGATATCCTCTTACTGGCGACTCCAGAGTACTGAACTTAGACGCCGAGCAAACTTCAAATTTCAGCTGTTCCTTGGAGATCATAGGAACCAAAGAGCAAAAAATGTTCCTAAGCACCCCTAAATATGTGTATTACGAAGGCTAAGGCACATTAATCAATTTAACCCATTTTCCGGCCTCATCTTGCATGATGCCGCTAGTGCCCCTACGGTTGATGATATATATATATATATATATATATATATCCTGCATTACCCATAACAAGGAATATACCATAATTTCCATAGTTTAGGGTCCTTAAGGTAATGCAGGATCTATATCATCAACCGTAGTTAAACCTCATAGCACTCGAAGTCCGTCGGTGAACGTGATGGTGGTTGGGGTCGCAGAAACACCCTCGCGGACTTACAAGGGCAGCAATCTTTAATGAAGCTCCTGCATAGTTCCTGGGCGGCTTATAGGGTTGCATGGTGGTTGTTCAAAGTAGTTGGTTTGGTCTACGTTCATGAGCCATAAAGAGCTTCCTGCTTGATTCGCATCTCCTCCGTGTTCCCTCCAGGGTCCTTGCGAAGCCACCTAGACGCTTCACTCTTGGACTCTCCCAAGTGAAGGTTTAAGGTCTACCTGAACACCCAAACCCTAATTACCCTGTTAAGGGAATAACGGAAGGACATATGAGGACAGGCAACCACCTAAACCATCAACCCTAAACCCTATAAAGCCTATAAACCCTCTAAACCCTAAACCCTAAAACCAGAAGGAAGCCGCGAAACGGGAGGTGTCTTAGTGTTAGTGTGCAGGCAGGGCTTGCGCCTGTAACTGTAAGCAATCCTAAATCTTCCGAAACTCAGGGTTTGTAGGGTTTACAGTTTACCTTAGCCCTGAAGGACCTACCTTTTTAGGGTTCCTTATTATGGTTTCCTTATATGTACGTCTTTAAGAGAAGGTTGGTTATTCAGGGTTCAGGTAGGGTTTTCGGAGGCCTCAAAAGGTGGGATGAAGGTAGGTGGGATATTCCCAAACAAGAGTCCTTTTTGAGGGATCCTGAATCCTACCGACCTTCATCCCACCTTTTGAGGCCTCCGAGGTTTAGGGACTCGCACCTGAAGCTTTCCCGGCATCACGCTGGCCACCGTCACCTGCAATCCCAGACGCTTTGAAGGGTTTAGGGTCTGGGGTGTGGGGTTGAAGGTGTAGGGTTTGGGGTTTAGGGTTTAGGGGGGTTTAGGGTTTCGGGGGGTTTAGGTTTTGGGTTTAGAGTTTAGGGTTAAGGATTACCCGCCATCCCAGAGAGTCCACATGGGTAATTGTCACAATTATGGTCCCTTTTTGGGTGCCCTAAATACTAGGTGCCGTACTACTTTAGGGACCCAACAAGGGGCCCTGATTTTGACAACCATCCATATATACACTACTACCATGGAATTAGGTCCCCAAAACCATGATAGGGATGGTCTTTTGGGACCTAATTCCAAAATAGGGCATCATGTGGCTTAAGATGCACCTGAACTCTAGCCCTAAACGCTGTTGAGGATGGTTGTGGAAAAACGAGGTTAAGGCACGTGCATGCGGGTAGACTTCCGGGAAACATCTAGAACCTAGACCCTGACCCTCAGGGCAGGGTCCCAGCATGTGCTTGCCCGAACAGTAAGGCAGTAAGGTTTTAGATAAATGCCGAACTCATTCTCGAGTGTAGCAACTAGTCAAACTAGTCAGAACAAATACTTGCACATTTTGACTTAGGCAATGCTTCAACTGTCTAGTGCGTGCTATCAGCGGGCAACAGGCATGGCAATTGCACGCCCTTCTGGGAACTGTGGCAGGTACACAACTCAGGCTCGGAATAACACCCTAGAGCGAATCAGAGTCCATCACATCGTGCTGTGCCTATACTTGCCTTCTCCACGTATGTGTAGCTCCTGCTGTGACTAACCTCGAAACCCTAAATCCGTAGACCCTAATCCCAATGAACTTTCACATGTTCTTCACCCGACCTGGCAGCCGCAGCGTGTGAGGGTGTCGGTGATGCAAGTGGTCTCAATCTCCTTCGGCTACTTTTTGCGTGCTTACGGCTCAAGGTTCAGGGCTTGGGGTTTAGGGCTTGCCTATAGTCTCCATTGTAGTTCCTTCTTTTGGTTTAACCAATTTCATATTAAGGATCCTAAAAGGTAACCCCAAAAAGGAACTACAATGGAGACTATAGGTATAGCAGTCTAGGCTGTAGGGTTTACATGCAATGTTCCCAAAAGTACCTTCAGACCACCTTGGTTCGGCTCCTCGGAGCCATCCGCCACTGGAACCAAAACCTGCCGAGGGTTTGAAATTTTTGTCAGGGATCTGAGTTTAGGAGTTTGGGATGCAAGTTAGGAGTTTTGTCTGCGAACTGAGGGCTTGAGAATTTGGCTAGGACTTTGAGAACAAGTCGGGCAAGGCGCGGCTGAACATCGCTTTTGTGCTCGAAGAGTTAGCCTAATGGTTCTGCACGACTGTAAAAAACTGGGGCCTTGCAGGGTCTGATAGAGAGCTCTTGTAGCACGACTGTGTTATATGCACTTTATAGCTCATTTCTGGTCTGTATACCGTGCAAAGAAGAGGTGATAACCAAGACTTCTGAAGGGTTTGGGCTGGTGGGCCCGCTGCTTTGTAGTTGCCATGCTTCGGGTTGGGCGGCAGAGGGATTTTCAGCACACCATCAGTTGTAAAGCTAAACCCCCAACCACAAAGCGACTGCGCCCAATGCGTGTGCCATTTGCATGTTCGCGTTCCAGCATTCTTGGATATGTGTGAGTGCACGTGTACAAAAATCAGATACATACATAATTACCCGTTCTTCTATACCAGTGTTCATGTGCGTGTGTGCCTGCTGCTTCATGAATGAATCGAAAGTGCTTGTTGTTTATCAAGGAGCTGGCGGAGTGTAACAAAGGGACTGTGTCCGCACGTGTACCTGAAAAAGCAGATATCCACACATACCCACGGCTGCATGTGAACATGTTGCCGACACGGGGCTCTAATGATGTCTGGGGCGAACGCACATCACTAAGCATGCGCCCATCGATCTACACATCTATCTATCTGTCTGTCTGTTTGTCTGTCTGTCGCTCGATCTATCTATCTATCGATCTGTCGATCTATCGATCTGTCGATCTATCGATCTATCCATCCATCTATCTTGTCTATCTGTCGGCCTCTCTACGTATGCGTATATGTGTGATAGTACACATACGCAGCAGGTCAGCAGGCATCCTCATCATCATCATCATCATAAAAATCAACGTCATGCTTGGCGGCAAACGATAGATGATGCACATCTCGAAACTAGAATTGGACATGGACGTGGACACAGACATGCGGGCAAGATGCAAGCATCAACAACATAATGCACCAGGAGAATCTACTTGATCGTCGCTTGCCGTCAGGCCAGCCCCTAAATTTCGATTTGCAAGGAATAAGCCCAAAGTGAGTAATCTAACTCCGAGATTCTGAACATAAACCCCATAGAATTCACCGAGGAAAGCCATGGAAGTTCCCCTTGTCATACCTTCATCATGGCACCCGCCTTGCTCGTAGTCCAAAGTCTTAGAAGGAGCCATCGAAACAGCAAAAAGGATAAGGCTATTACTTGGGAACCTGGCCTCCCTCCGCCCTCGGAAAACAAGATAGCAATTTAGGGTGTAGGGTTGCAAATTGAAAAGCAAGGGACATCTGACCCTTATACTATGAATCCCTATGGCTATTTGATTGAACCTTAAACCCATTGAGGGTCCGTTTCGTCCTTAAGGTTTGGGAAACCGCATGACATCGGAGGGATGGCCTTGGCCATTGCCACGAAGCTCGAGCTGGATCGCTTCCAACACCCAGAGCCCCACCGCGGAACGCTGAGAAAAGCCGCGGGCACGGTGACTTTGATTGAAGGACTCTACCCTAGACAGCCTTAAACCCAATCAACCTAAACCTAGACCCTCCCCCTATATACCCCCTATAGAGTTTCCCTGAAGACCCACTATTGAGGACCATAAGGGCTCTATTGGCCACTTTTGGGATTCTGGAACCCTCACCTTACCAGTTTTTCCGGGAATGCCCCCCGGTCCCCGGAAGTTTAGGGTTTACGGTTTATGATAGGGTGGCCCCCGACTCACTAGCCCAGAACCTTAAGAAGCACAGAACGCCGGGGGGGGGTGTGGCCGGAAGGTCAGGGCCTTGGGTGTTCGGATGAGGTTCTACGACTTGTTGGAGCCCTACCAAATGGTGCCAGGCACGATAGGTTATACGATAAGGTTTAGGGTTTACACATCTCGGTATTGAGGGTTGACGCATTTCGTTCTCGTGCTTGAATAACACCGTGCTCGGTTGTCTGAGTTCAGCATCGGATGGGCGGCGTCTGAACCGTGCCCACAAGATCATGGGATTCAGTGACCAGGTTTATGAGTCAGGAAACTAGACTGCAGTTACAACTACAAGCCCCAGCTGGGGGCACTTATAAGCTTTCGTCCTAAGTCCAATGATCCTCCAAGTGAAATGCCAACCACAGGATGTTCCCCTAAAAGTTTGCTTTAGGGTGTCGGCGTAAGGGGTTAGGCTGAAGGGGTACGGGTTTAGGGCGTTAGGGTTTGACCCCGAGGATTCAGCTTATCTGAGGGGCGGGGGTTTAGAGTCTACGAATTAGGATCTGCTACTGCATCTGCTTCAGGTGGTTACACGAACTTGGATGTAGGATAGAAAGCTTCGGCGACTCATACCCTCAAGCCTGAACCCAATAACCCTAAACCTGAAGCCCAAAGCCCAAAGCCCTGACACCATAAACCCTAACACCCAACAGCCCCAAATCCCTAACACGCTAAAGCCCTACCATTCTAAACCCCAAGCCGATGGGCCGTTAAAGCGACATTGGATTTTTGCGGGTTGCTGGCACGCGGTTCGGGTCATGTTGGTTGCGCTTGTCAGCATCTTTCCCCAGCACTTCCCTACGGACTCATATTCTAAGGCTTTTGGACCCCAAAACCATATTGGATAAGGCTTTGGACTTTTTTAAGGGACAAGCACGAAGATTCCTGTCTGGCGGTTTCGGTGCAGGATGTCGGGCTGGGAGACAAGCTCCGTGTACCCATATAGTGGTTACTTAGGCCTTAAAGGGATCCCTATATGGATACTTTAAGGCCTAAGTACCTACGATATGGGTACATGGAGCCTTTGGGTCTCTATACTGAACTTAGAACCCTAGCAACAATTTAATTTTAGCTGTTTCTTAGGGATTATAATAAAAAATGGAAAATATTTCTAAGTACCCCTAAGGTCTGTACACCAAAGCCATCAAGCGTTGTTCAGCCGCGAACTTCCCCTTGGTTCCTGAACTCGCCCAGAGAGCCCAATACCCCTTAATTGAGGAGTAGACCTTAAATTATAAGGGGATTCAGATTATGATTTAAGCTATATTCTTCAATTAAGGGGTATTGGGCTCTCTGGGCGGACCACATCCCCGAATAATAGGTAACGACTGCTACCGTTGATGACATACATCCTGCGTCACCTTAAGGACCCTAAATTATGGTACATTCCTTGTCATGGGCAATGCAGGATGTATATCATCAACCGTATCACCCTAAACCATGTAACCCAAAAACCCTGCAGCCCTAAACCCCTAACACGATGCCCTTTAACACCTGAACCCTAGACACCCTAACCCCTAAACCAACTACTGAACCCTGAACCGCTGAGGTCCCGCACCGGCATCTGCCGCAACTTCCGTCCTCCGAACAGGTCCGCGGCCTAAGCCATTGCCATGCCAAACCCTCAAAGTTTATAGGACTTACTGCTGATGGACAAAATCCTGCATTACCCTTTATAAGAATTATGCCATAATGCCCATAGTTTAGCGTCCTTAGCATCATCCAGGATTTTGTCCATCAACAGTAGGGTTTAAGGTTGGGGATTTCTAAGGGTTTGGCAGGTTTCGTGTTCAGGGGTTTAAGGTTCGGGGTTTAGGGTTTACCTGAACCTACTGTTTTGGAGGCTCTTATCATAAACCCTAACATCGTGTTTTTGAGGGACGATACAAAAAAGTAGGTTTGGGTGGACTTGGGGTTTACAGGAATTATGGGGTTTAAGATGGTCTGAGGTTTAGGATTTACAGGCGAGGCTCTTGGGGCCCTGCGCTGGACCCGAAAACCTACTGTGTCAGCGTTCCCGAGGGTTGAGGGTTTACGAGTTCCTTTTATAAGCTATATATAAATTATAAAAGGGAGGCAGGGAAAAAACCTGAACACATGATGAGAGCCAAAGCCTTCTTCGGGTGTTGGGGGCGTAGGTCTTGCGGCTTTGATTTTTGGGCTTACGGTCTGGGCTTGGGGTGTATCCAGCGTGTGCGGCCCAAGACAAGCCTAACAGCCCTAGCCTAGATGAAAGGTCTGCTGTATGAAGAAGTACGTTTTGACTGCGCAGGGCCAATGCTTCCGGTTTTGGAGTCTCATGGAACCTGTTCTACGTTTGTTAGATTAAATATTCTTTCAAAGTTGCAACCCTCTCGGTACTTCCGCGGGAACGCCTGCTTCAAGAACGTTGCTACAAGGACTAACCCCTGAACGCAAATCTAAAGCCTGAGACTTCAGCTCACGTCCTCAAACATCGGTTACCTCCACTTCTGACATCTTTTTCAAGAGCCATGGGACCAGCGCTCCTGTAGCGACAAGCGGTCTAGGCATCCTCATCATCAGCATCATCTGCTTCCTTGTAAAGCCACGGACAATCGCTCGCTCTCCAATCCACGCCAACCGAAAAGAGCTTGCATGCCCTCTGCGGTGACCAGACCCCATCTCCCATCGGTCATCTCGGACATCACCAAAGTTGGAGGGTTCGAGGCGACCGCCCGCAGCATGCCTCGGCCACCTTCTCACCTTAACCAGGCCAGAGCAATATGCCTGCCGCTAGCTCCGGTATGCGTGCAGCACCCTGAGAAGCCCGGGCTTGCGCAACAGCCTTGCAGAACATTCACCGATTTCCGCTTGGACCCCTGATGTCCGCCCCGGACCGCGCCGGTCCTTCGCATGCTTGTCTTGATGTGTCCGAGAAGCGACTCCGCGACGTTGTCGCCGCCGACCACGGGTTTAGGGTTCTGGGTTTTGGGTTTTGGGTTTTGGGTTTTGGGTTTACGGTTTAGGGTTTACGGTTTAGGGTTTAGGGTTTAGGGTTTGGGGTTTAGGGTTTACGGTTTAGGGTTTAGGGGTTTAGGGAATATCGTCTGTCTTCGCCAGCACGGTGGGGTTGGCGCGTACTAATACAACCAGCACACGACCACGAGGACCAGGGCCCACGACCACTACCGCTGCCAGTACTACGAAAACAACTACTACGACGACTACTTAGACTAGCATGAAAGCGACTTCTAATTATTGCTTACAAGGGAGATGACAAGAAGCTTAACAACAATCCGAACGACTACGAGACAACGGCTTACTGCAGAAATGCTTGGCCTCACCTGCTGCGACCCCATCCACCAGCTAGACCAAACACCCCAAACTCCAATCCAAAAACCCTCAACACTTCGGTTCTAAAGCCCAAACCCTAAAGCCCTAACCGCAACCCCACCCCCGCTTCCCAAAAAACGGACGACAAAGGCTCCTGCCGAAACCCACTCTGAGAGCCCGACGCACAGCCTGCCTGAGGCCGGGGCTACTTAGAGGATCGTGGGACTTAGTAGGTAGGTTATAATTGGGGTTATAAGTCCCCTAAGTGGGGTTATCCTAATTAAAAATAACCTACTTATAACCTTACTTACTAAGTCCCCTGATCCTCTAAGTAGACCCTAAACCCTAAACCCTGTAGATCCCTTTCAAGGAAACCCCTATAGATCCCTTTAAGGACCAGTCCCATGAGCCTTCAAGTGGAGGCAGATCCGGTGCGCGCAGAGTTTTTGGGTATCCCAGGACGTCCCCTTAAAGGCCCTTTAATAGAGCCCTTACGGTCCGCAGTAGTGGGTATTTATTTAAGGTATATTAGAGGGCAGTTCGGGGGTCTACCCAGAGGCTCCATAGTAGTTCCTTTTTGGGGTTACCTTAAAGGATTCTATATATGAAACCCAAAAAGGAACTACTATGGAGCCGCTGGGTAGGTTGGTTGAGGGACAGGGGTTTGGGTTTAGAGCAGGGGCCCAGGGTTTAGACTGGGACAAACACCAGAAGGGCTTGGAGTTGTGGAAGTGTTGGCATTTGTGTATACAGGGAACTCCAGAAAGTTGGAATATGGAATAATGGCAGGATCCCCTGTAACTTACCTTAAAGGGGATTATGATACTGATATTCCAACTTTCTGGCTTTTACTTTAGGGTACAGGATATTCTAAAGTCTCGTGGCTTAGGGTTTGGAGTATCCTGAACCCTGCCCTGAACCCTTAGAGTAAAAGCCAGAAAGTTGGAATATGATTATCCTAAACCCTTCTATGGTAAATTAGGGTATCCTACCCTGAAACCATATTCCAACTTTCTGGAGTTCCCTTTAGTCTAGGTGCATGCCCTGAGTGTGTACGGTTTAGGGTGTATATAGCATAGACATAGATCTATACTAAACTTAGAACCCTAGCAAACATTATAATTTTAGCTGTTTCTTAGAGATTATAAAAACCAAGAATTAAGAATATTGCTAAGTACGCCTAAGAGATGTTGATAGGCTTCGATGTTGTTCATCAGGCTTCACTTCCACGGCTTATGGGGAATGAGAGAACCAAAAGCCCGAAATGCTAAACCCTGAACACTAAACCCGCCAATCCTGCACCCTAAACCCTGTACATCCTGAACCTGGCCAACCACCACCAGAGGACTGTCTTATTCAAATT